TTTTTTTATACAAAAAGAGTTTATCATAAAACCAAGGCCAAAAATTCAAATTTTGGTAAACTTTATAGCAGCTTTTGTGACTAAAAATCGAAAAATTATTGGTATCTCTCTAATCAGCTTATGTCGCTGCTAATGTTTACAAGAAATTTGTAATTGAGCATTTATAGAATGCGCGTGCTTTTCTTCCTCTATTATAAATCAAATCAGAAATTTTCATTGAAGTTTGTGGAAGTAATAAAATTTCGAAATTTTTGGTGCAGAATTGTGCATCAACCTAATTGGTTGTTTGATCATGTTGTTCTCTACAAACTTCTCTTCTCTATCACTTTATGAAACCATCTTTTCTTATTCCATCAATCCCAAGCATTTCCACATGCAAGTGCAATTGTCCATAGTATGAACAACATGTCTTCTAGGCTCCAACAGCACAAGTTGTATCGGGTTTGGAAGAGTTGTCGGAAGAAGAGAGGTTGAAGATCCAAGCGGTGATGGCATGTGCCGAACTGGATGCCGCAGCCGGTATCGTGTCCTCGCAAGCCACCACACCTCTCTCGTGAGCCTTTGAAAAATTTAATTTTTGATTTGAGCAATGAATTTCAAATTTTACTTTAGCGTCGGCGCAGCTCCCGCAGCAGCAGCTGTACAAAAAACGACGAGTATAGTCCGGGGACCAGCACAGGACACTCAAGTAAAGCACGATAGGGAACCTTCAGCATCAGCAGAACCATCACGGCCAACTTCCTCGATGTCCGCACGAAGGCATGTGCTCTTTTTACGCTTGAGTAGTTCTTTAGAACAAATGTTGTATTCCAGTGACGTCTCTTTACCTCCTATGGAAGGACTTTCGGACGAGGAACGAGCACACATCGAGGCCGTGATGGCAATGGCGGAACGTGATCAAGCCGCTTCTGTACCACCTCCACCGGAACCACAACCACCACGAACAAGGTGCGAAAAAATTTTGTCAAGTTTTTACCACTCATAGGTGAAATATATTGAAATTTAGGGAGCCGGAAGTAATACCACCCGG